GAGTACAATGTGTGAAGCCTATTTCTGGTGTTCTCCTCCGTGATAGTGCTGGAATATAGCTTAAAGTGGCGTACAGCCCCTTTCACTGTACTCCAATAGAATCCATGTTCCAGCGAGTGGTGGACGGATGAACTCCTTGTCGGTCTGTCCCAATCTACATCTGGACACGTATACAACCTTCGCAGTTACTTGGCGAACCGTCTGAGGCGCTTGTAGCTTGTGTTCAAAACAAACCATACATATTACTGGCCTACTACTCCTCCATACATTAAAACCAAAATTTAGAAGAGGTCATTTCAACTTATTTCCATTAGTGAGTGAGTGAGTGAGTATGATTTTACGCCGCTTTTAGCAATGTTCCAGCAATATCACGGTGGGGCCATGAGAATTGGGATTCACACACTGTGCCCATGTGGGGAATCGTACCCAGGGTTTCGGCGTGACGAGCCAACGCTTTAACCAGTAGAGTACCCCTCAGTCCCTTCACCAGTCAACCCGTATCGGCAAGCCCTACATATTTTATAAATAAATAGTATTTGATAATGATATCCTTCTGACATTGATTTGATTAAAGTGTGTAAAATGCATTTGACGTTAAGAGTCAGTGTGAAGGTAAGATGTTGAAGATTTTGAAAATCAAATACATTTGTATTTCCCTTTCATCTGTTTGTAGCATAGTCCCGATAGTCATCCATATTTTTATGATTCTCATCTCCAACATCAGTCAACAACGTTGTGGTGTGCGAAATGGAAATAATAAAAACAATCATTTAATCCCTAATTGTACAACGTATTTACCGAAATTTATAAATATCACTTCGAAATAGTCTTTTAATCAATTCTTGATGTCGATCAAGCCTTTTTTCTTCGTGAACAAATTCCACACCCGTCTAGAAAGTTGAAGCATAATATATATATAATATACCTGATCATCCAACTCCCAGAAGCAAATCACTGGATTAGATAAAATACATATGTTTTACCTTTGAGCGTGTGTGTGTGTGCTTACGAGTGAGCGTGTGTCAGTGTGAGTGAGAGAAAGAGATAGTGACTGTGTGACTGTGTGTGTACGACTGTGTGAAACAATCTGAGTGTGAGACTGTGACTATGTGTGTGAGAGACTGTGCGTGTGACTATGTGTGTGAGACTGACTATGTGTGTGTGCGACTGAGTGTGAGACAATCTGAGTGTGAGACTGTGTGCATGAGAGAATCTGAGTGTGAGACTATGTGAGAGATAATCTGAGTGTGAGACTGTGTATGTATGACTGGGTGAGAGAGAATCTGAATGCAAGACTGTGTGAGAGAGAATCTGAGTGTGAGACTGTGTATGTATGACTGGGCGAGAGAGAATCTGAGTGCAAGACTGTGTGAGAGAGAATCTGAGTGTGAGACTGTGTGTGTATGACTGTGAGAGAGAATCTGAGTGTGACTGTGTATGAGACTGTGTGTGTGACTATGTGTGAGAGAATCTGAGTGTAAGAGTGACTATGTGTTTGTGCGACTGTGTGTGAGAGAGAATCTGAGTGTGAGACTGTGTGTTTGAGACTGACTATGTGTGTGTGCGACTGTGTGTGATAGAGAATCTGAGTGAGAGACTGTGTGATAGAGAATCTGAGTGAGAGACTGTGTTTGAGACTATGTGTGTGTGCGACTGTGTGTGATAGAGAATCTGAGTGAGAGTCTGTGTGAGAGAGAATCTGGGTGTGAGACTGCTTTAGAGAGAATCTGAGTGTGAGACTGTGTGATAGGGAATCTGAGTGTGAGACTGTGTGAGAGAGAATCTGAGTGAGAGACTACATGTGTGAGAGAGAATCTGAGTGTGAGACTGTGTGTGAGACTGACTCTGTGTGTGAGACTGTGTGTGTGCGACTGTGTGTTATTGCCTCTACATACAGCTGTAAGAAGTGAAAGTGGGAAGCAGCACTGCTTTTTAAACGGAATAATAATGATAAAACAACTACTGCAAAACAGGTTAATCTGTCTGGCAAATAAACTGTAGTCAAATGAAAGAATGGGTTGGTCCTTCGTTGTTTATATATATTGACCACCGATATCTCGAGATATTAAGGTCCGACTCTACGCGCATTCATGAATACGACTAACTGTATGTTAGCAGGCAGTAGCAATTATGCTGCCGTCTGACCTTGAACTATACTAATTATTGTGGCTGTGTTAATACGGTATTCGGTATGTTCGGGCCTCGGTTGCAGGACTGCGTGAACTGCTCAAACTAACGACTGAGCATTTTATATCTACAGGTTATCAGTTGGTTGTTTGAGCATTCTAACTATATGTAACCAAACACGGTTGTGTCGAACTTTGATGAGTCGAACTTGCTGTCTCGAGGTAGAAGCTTGGTACCTGCCTATTCCATCATTTTGCGGTTGATAACATTTTGCGTAGTATTAAGGTATGTACACTAATCTATTCATGAATGTGAAAATTATTGATAGCAAGTCTATGTTCTTCTTCCTTTTATCTTAAAACAAGGTTTGTCACAAAACATTGATAATTCATACGTTTGTCATGCTGATCATCTTCAAAAAAATTTAACTGTCAATACAAATGCTTAATAGCGTAAATTAAAACGTAAACTGTTTATTGTAATCATATTAATCTCGTGTATGAGTATTGGTATTTGGTATTTGCAAATCCCGATATTTCAGCGTTTCCATTGAGTAAGGGGGCGGTGGGGTAGTCTAGTGGTTAAAGCGTTTGCTCGTCATGCCGAAGGCCCGGGTTCGGTTCCCCACATGGGTACAATGTGTGAAGCCCATTTCTGGTGTCCGCCGCCGTGATATTGCTGGAACATTGCCGCATAAACCATAGTCACTGACCGACTCATTCAAAAAACACCAGATGCATGTCTCAAATTCTATTTTGACTGCGATGCTCTTGTCTTTAGTCGCCATGCTGTGAAGATCTGGGTTAGAATTGATCTTCAGTAACCCATGCTTGTCGTATAAAGAGGTGACTAACGGAATCGGGTGGTCAGGCTCGCTGACTTGGTTGACACATGTCATTGTATCCCAAATGCGTAGATCGATGCTCATGATGTTGATCACTGGGTTATTATTAGACTCGTTTGTTAACAGACCCCGCCCTTATAGCTGGAATAGTACTGATTGTGGCGTTAAACAACAAACAAACATACAAAACCTTTGCAAGATCCGATTGCGTCTGACATTTTTTATGTTTTTAATATATATGGCGGCGCGGGCGTGTTGGACGCTTTCCCTCCAGAACACTGTATCAGCGTGATTCAGCTATGACTGGGGCGACCCGAGCTTCAACCTGTGTATTTGCTGCAGTACAGTTCATTCACTCATTATTGATTATCCGCTGTGTTATTTACCGTATATACCATAAACAGCGACATTACAGCCTCGTACTTGAGCGCGATAGCACGGCAACAAAAGGAATATTTGTAATTGTTCATATTCGTTCTTTAGGCTCTCTGTACTGGTTTTGCAAGGGACATTATTAACAGGACAATTACTTTTACTCAAGGGACATTATTAATAGGACAATTACTTTTACTCAAGGGACCGGTTCTTAATGAACACAGTCAATGATTAGAGAATGTACGGCAGACAAATTGTGCATATCAGTAGCCAAATTGGTTAAATCACCGTCTGGTAATTTAGGTCCGTGGTTTATTCATATCAAAGATCAGTGGTTTAATCACAGCTAGCCGTATACTGTTATTGTGATTATGAGGGTAAATTCGGCCTGTGACGTCACTTGTTAATCGTTGTGTTCTCGTGGAGGATAATTCATATTAATGCCGTGAGGGTGGTGGTGTTACGAGTCAATAGTCAGTATAGTTTGGAGTCGGATGATTTCGTCTTATTCAATGAGTGAGGTTACTTTTACGCCTATTTAGCAATTTTCCAGCAATATCACGACAGGGGACACCAGAATTGGGCTTCACACATGGCACCAATTTGGGGAATCGAACCCAGGCCTTTGGCATGACGAGCAAACGCTTTAACCACTAGGCTACCCCACCGCCCCCTTACTCAATGGAAACGCTGACATATCGGGATTTGCAAATACCAAGTTCTGTGTATTTCGATCTACTCATACACGAGATTAATATGATTACAGTAAACAGTTTACGTTTTAATTTAGGCTAGGTATTAGTACTGACAGTATATATATTTTATGATAGAGGGGCGGTGGGGCAGCCTAGTGGTTAAAGCGTTCGCTCGTCACGCTGAAGACCTGGGTTTTATTCCACACAAGGGTATTGTACAATATGTGAAGCCCATTTCTGGTGCCGCTATATTGCTGGAATATTGCTAAAACCATACTCACTCACTCATTCACTAATGATAAAACATTACAGGGAGAACCGTTTACACTAGCCTTGTCTCACAGTCCCTGAACCACATTATTTTCCTTACTGCCAAGCTCTCTCTGTAGTACTAAAGCCCTAAATAAAGCAAGTCTAGATTTCCTCAGGTTGAGGCTCTGGCCCTGATTTCTCGAAACAAACTTAAGTTTTTACTCAAATTTCAAACTGAGTTTGACAATTTGAAACAGCTGAATTTTTAACTCAGCTGCATTTTTAAAAGAAAAAAGCTTAAACAACTTTAGTAATCTATCCATCAAACTCAAATTGTCTACTATGTTTGTGTGTAATATTGATTTCAGTTCATTCTGGGAAATGCATTTTCCTGCGCTTTGTCAAATTTGAGTAAAAACTCTCACTTAAGTCAAAACTCAGGCTTAAGTTTGTTTCGAGAAATCGGGGCCTGGTCTCCCTCGGGCTCCTTTTCAATTTATTTGGTTTGTTTGTTACTATCAAAATTATATATATTCAGAGACTAAGCATTAGTCTACATTAACACCATCAATAGCCCCTTCTCGAGGATCACAAAGCATAACACTGTCAGGAGTTTATCACAATAACGCTGCGTGGAGATTAAGGGGCACTGCCTGACGAAGTGGTAGCGGAGATATACGAAGACGCGACCTCGCCGGATTGGCCAATGGTACAATGCATGTGTCAAACCGGTTTGTAAAACTCAAACCGGAAACAGAGCGGCAACAACAAGGAAACGAGCTCGATAAACACTTGATCGTATCTCGGTGGGTATGCTTGTTTTTCATTCAATGAACGGAAAGATAGCTTGTCTAAAACAATAGCACCGATACGAAGCTACATAGTATTATAGTTTCACGGTCGGCTGATTGCGGCTGGTGCGCTTATGTTTTCTAGAGATCCCATCGATTGTATGAGTTGCCAAGAAGCGAGACTTGGATTGCGACACACTCCACCAAACTAGGCCGGGTTAAGCAATAGTAAATTGCAAAACATCCGTAAATATATACTGTGTATAATACGCAGTTTGCAGATTAGCACATCAACTGCACATCATAGGTAAGATTTTCTCATCAACTAGACATAAGATAACGAACAGGTGGTTGCAAGGCCTTCAGTGTAACTTACTGTAAGTCGATATGCCGACTATATCTCGAGGGGTAGGTGCTGTGAGTACGCCTGGGCTTGTTTGTCAGTAAATATCAGATATGTTACAGGGAATTAACTGACTACATTCTAGCCGAGGCATGTTTCTGTTGCATAAATACTGTCATGTTACGAAATGAAACATAATATTGGAAGAGTGTGTCGGTGAAGGATGAGTGTTTGAAGTGAGCGCCTACCTGTAGGATCTGAACAGGTAGATTCCTAAACTAACGCCTAGTCTCTGAATATATATATATAATTTTGATAGTAACAATTTATCCCATTTGGTAAGATTACAGAATACCGGATGCCGTCTTTGAAAGCATGCTAGTTTAGAGTTAGGGTTAGGGTAAGGTTTGGGTTAGGGTCAGGGTGACATGACTCTAAACAATATGGCTGGTAGGTCTGGTATTCTGTTGGTGTACCTCCCATTTGAATTGGAAAGGAGCCCTGTGAAATGGGAGATTCAGACCTGAGGAAATCTAGACTTGCTTCATTTAAGGCTTTAGCAACAAACAAAATTTGTAGAAAGGGTAGGTGTAAGGGAAAATAATGTTGTTCAGGGACTGTGAGACACACAAGTAGATTTCGTGTTGGGACTATAATTTTGAATTTGTACAGGTCTTGATGTAGTTTGCAGTACATTGACATTGACATATTTGTTTGCCATAATAACCTGCAGTATTGTAGATGAAGGCCTATAGATTCAGGGAAGGTGGGGTTACAAGCCTAGTGGTTAAAGCGTTTGCTCATCCCGCCAAAAACCCGGGTTTGATTCCCCACATGGGTACAATGTGTGATGCCCATTTCTGGTATCCTTTGCCGTGATATTGCTGAAATATTGCTAAAAGCAGTGTAAAACTAAACTCACTCACTCTCTTTGAGACACCCAATACTGATTCAGAGTCAACCAGTGCATGCTTACCTCCATTGATTCAAGCATCATGCAGGGTAGCATCTAGTTGTCGTTTTGCATCGCATTGACCGCAACATAGCTGCAATATTGTACCCATGTGGGGCATGAACTCGGGCCTTTGGTGTGCCGAGTGAACGCTTTAACCATTAGGCTACCCCACGGCCACTACAGACTAATTAGATTTTTTCATATTGATACTTACTGCACATGCACAAGTGTAATAGCTTAACATATGTCTAATCATACATGCAGGGGTGATTGGGTAGCCTAGTGGTTAAAGCGTTCTCCTGTTGTGCCGAAGGCTTGGGTTTGATTCCCCACATGGGTACAAATGTGTGAAGCCCATTTCTGGTGTCCCCCAACATGATATTGCTGGACTATTGCTAGAAGAGGCATAAAAACTCATTCATGCTTTTAATTAATTATATTATCATGGTATTTTCTTTTGCAGAGATTCATAACCAAGATTCATCATGTCTAACGGTGGAAAGTGTTGTGTCGTAGTCTTGATTGGCGTAGGTGTTGTAGCTATTCTAATTATTGCACTTGTCGCCACATCCCTGAAGAAGTTGGCTTCAAAGGAGGGTAAGGACTTCTCAATAACCAGATAGTTTAAACATATTCAGTGAGGAAAATCCTCACTGTATATATTTTGGGCAATAAACATGATAGCTGAACCAGTGAAGATCCGGGTTAGATCACTGGATTTTCAAGCCCACATTCAGTTATTTAGAAACAGCTGCCATAAAGCTGGAAACAGCTGCCATATAGCTGGAATATTGCTGAATGGTGTTAAACAAGCAAACAAAAGATAATAAGAGCTTCTGTATCTTTTGCTTTCTGGATCATGTGGATGTTTTTGATTATTTCATTTAGGGCTGGCTGAGGATATAGATCACAGAGATCCATAATCATGAACTAAATATCAATCGATTATTGATAAATATCAGAGAAATTATGCATGGGTTGCTAACAAAACAGCGTCTTGATCATAATTCAGGGCTCCAGATAATTTTTCAACATCAGGAGTACGTACTCCTTATTTTTTCAATAAAGGAGTACTGGACTACATTTAGAGTACTGAATGGAAAATAATGGCGTATCAGTTATCTTGTGTTTTGTTTTATATATGCACCACAACATTGCTGCTCTTATGTAAACAGGTCAATAAACAATAAAACAATACTTTTTCAGATAAATACGTCTGTAAATGATTTTAAGACCACACACCATTGCTGTGGTGCGTATCTGCTACGTTTTCTAAATTATTTCCTACTGTATCGTGCATATTTTCTATCCGTACATACGCCGATATGGCCCTTATCTGGAGCCCTGATAATTCGGAAGCAGCCCATGATTAAAACCTAACTTTGTGTATTGTGTGAGTAACTAAAAACTTTATACTATCACCATAGTTGATGTACAATATTGTCGATGATACTGTTTTCATATCAATAAGCTTTAAGAAATTTATGATTATCGATCTTCTTAGCCAGCCCTAATTTCATTTATTTTTTGTAACAAGGTTGCCAGTATTTCTTCGATGTCAAACATGTGCTAGAAACCAGCCAATAGATCAGTGTTTTATGACAATTGCTTCTTGAATAGTTTGGCATTAACAGGGTTTGAGGGACCTGTGAAGATCTGGGCTTGAATTGGTCTTCAGCGACCCATGCATGTCGTAACATGGGACTAACGGGACTTGGTTTACACATGTCATCATATCCCAATTGCTTTGATCTATGCTCATGCTGTTGATCACTGGATTGTCTGGTCTTGATTATTTACATCCCACCACCATATAGCTGGAATATTGCTGAGTGTGGTGTTAAACAACAAACAAACAGGGTTTGAACATATACTGTTTTGTATTTAATTCTAGTACATGTACAATGTACGTTATTTACGTGGTATATGATGTAATTAATGGTCTCCGTATTTTCAGTGGGAATCGCTTATGACAAGTTTCAAAAGAAATTATCAGATACTGTGAAGAATGAGGGTTTGCACAATGGTCCCCCAGGTTTTGAGTTCATCATCTTCCCCAATGTCTACACTACATTGAACTTCAGATCTCTGTCGGTAAGTTGTAGTTCTGTGTAGTGGTGGTCCGATTAATTGAAATAATCGAAGATTGGTCGCAATGACAAAACGACCAAGCAATCGATCATGTTTTCTCATAATCGAACACAATCAATTTTGGAACACTTGTTTGCAATAACAATATTTTTCAAAAGGTTGATTTTGTCTCGATATTGCATAAGCACTACAAGCTCGTTCCAAGTCATGATTAAGTTTATCTTAACAACTCCAGGAAATGTATGTTCCTAACACACTAGTCATCCTTTAAAGATGTGAAATTGGCAAATGCATTTTGTGCAATTTGCGAAAAAACCTGAGAGAACTACATGTTTTTTCTTTATTTTTTGTGCATTAACAAGCATAACCAAGAAAATTTGATAAATGACGCTAACCAATTATTTTCGATGATTGATCGGTTGTAAGGAATCAATCATCAATTATGAGATTTACACCAATTCCCAACACTAGTTCTGTGTGAATGTTCGATTTTGCCAACAGCAGTGTTGGCATGCATTAAGAATCTTGCATCTGTTATTTGTCTGTTACCTTACTGTATTCCAAGGCTGTTTCATCCATCGTTCTCACCCAATTTGTCTGTATCACCAGTTTGTATTACCTGAAATAACCAATCTTCCTGTATCATCTGTCTGTATCATCTACATGTATCATCTATTTGTATCACCTGTTTTATGACCTGTCGGTGTTATCTGTTTATCTCACCGAGCTGCATCATCTGCCTGTATAACCCATCTGCATCACATGGTTGACTATGTAGTCTGCCTGTTTCACCTGCCTATCTCACCTGTCCGTCTCTGTCACCTGTGCATCCACCGGTCTGTTTGTCTCACCTGTCTGTATCACCTGTGCATACACCTGTCTGTCTCACCACTCTTTATCACCTGTGTCTGTATCACCTGTGCATACACTTGTCTATCTGTATCACCCGTTCGTCTGTGTCACCTGCGCATACACCTTTCTGTATCACCAGTGCATACACCTGTCTGTCTATCTCACCTGTGCATACACCTGTCTCTGTATCACCTGTGCATACACCTGTCTGTCTGTCTCACCTGTGCATACACCTGCCTGTCTGTTTCACCTGTGCATACACCTGTCTGTTGCAGTGCCTCAACAAGGATGGGGTCATCATTACCCTGGATGTGGCATACCAGTACAAGGCCAGGGTAACACATCTCAAGGACATCATCCTCAAATTTAAAGACTTTGAGGGCTACAAGAATATCTTAAAATATACAGGTATATATGCTACCTTTCCTTACTCTACAGCGTAACTCACTTTAACTCAATTAGGTTCTTGAGACGCATATAGAAGTCGGTATTCAAGTACAAGACAAAATATTTATTTATGTGTATGTGTATTTATTATATACACAACATTTCTGGGGCTTTTCCCTGCCAGAAACGTTGTGTATAATTTAAGTTAAGTAGTTGTTATTGAAAGTGTGTGTTCACATGGTAGCTTTGACATGATGAATGTGCCTGTCAATTAACAAAAAGGTTACTGATGCTCTTTGTCTAAACAGACCAGTGATATAGAAATTGTGAACTATTACGTGACTCATGTTAGAATGGTAATTGCAGGTTCAGCAGCCCTGCATGAGGCGTGCAGCTTGTTCAACACTTCCCAAGTGCAGGCAGAGCGAGGGGCGTTCCAAGAGATGGTGAGACAGAAGCTCCGGGAAAGATACGATCTGCTGAAGTGTGACATCACTGATCTCCAGGTGAGTCAGTACCTGTAGCATGTTCCGTGGGTATTAATAATATATAGGAATTGTCTAGAAGATATATTTAGTTCTGCACCATGCCCACAAAATATCTATGTCCTCATATTATGGGTTTTCGGAGTGTGGTCTTGCTAATTACAGGGACAAATATAAATCCTCTGCTAGCTTATGATATTCAACTTTATCTTAAACACAAGCCATCATTCAGGAAAATATGTGCGATAGACCCCCCTTGTACTAGTAAACATTGCCATCGAAAAAAAATTGAAGTTTGATCACTGGATCATCAGGTCCACACGCGATCATTTACAAACCGCCTCCATACAGCTTAGGTGTTGCTGAGTGCAGCATTTAACCAACCAACCAACCAACCAAATCATTCCATATTCATGGCTTAGCATGCAGGAGTGATGTTTTGTCTTCTAAAGCATATGAGGCTTTGTCTGTGTTGACAAAGGATCAGATAATGTTCTAAACGGACCAAGGAAACCCTAAAACATTTAGTTTGAGCCTTACATATAAATATGTCAAATGTTTGTCTTTGTTCAGAGATTGCTGCACTTAGAAATTATAGTAAACTTCTATGGATAACAAGGGACACATCTCACAGGCCCCAGCGAGAACATGCAGAGTGGTGTCCCTTAGGTGTTTCAGATATCTGTGTAACTTCAACCAAGTTCAGCTCCAGATTGTGTGTTATGGTTTGTCATCATCACCCTTGCTCATCAGTTGCATCCAAGTTATGAACCCCTAACGACTGCATCACTTCCAAAATTCCACTTGAGGCATACACGCCGTTTAGAAATACTTCAAAGCGAGCGAATGATTATGTTAGTACTCTGGCCATTGACCTACAATATTGATTCACCTTGTACGAGATAATCAATAGATGTTGATGGTTCAATTTTCATTTGTCCCGATGCTGAGTTAGTGCTCAGTGTTTATGTTTGTTCTATCTAGATCAGAAAACTATTTGTTGGCTGTAATTGATTTATTCATCCCATGTATTACCAATTAAACACAGCAGTGCATAAATATCTCCTTTTGGTAACCATTGAATAAACGTATTGCAGTTTTCAAGAGAAGGTAACACCAGATGTGATGTTCCTGTATGGTGAACCATATGGCAAGATCTGTATGAGATGGTTGAGGTCATATTGATTATTTGCAAGATGATGTACACAACTGAATGGCACAATATGTCACAGTGATATCATCTGGAAGCTTCAAAGTGTGTGACCAGGATATAACACTCTATACTCCTCTGTCATGTGACTTTCTAACGAAGGTGCAGTGCCCAGTCGATTTTGGTGATCTTCATGTATATTTCAAGGTCACAGCAACACATTGAAGATTTCAGCTTGTTAACCTGCATGTTAAGCTTGTCAGCACGATACCTCAAGAATCATTCCCTGGATTTTCTTCATATTTGAGAATATTCTTCATCTTCACATAAGTTTTGAGGTCACGGCGACACTTTGTCAGCAAGATATCTCAAGAACGGTTCACTGGATTATTTTCATAGACTTCCAAGACTTCTCTTAAATGTTTTTTGATCAGCAATTTCTTCATTACCATTTTTGCATATTTCATTCACCATGACATTCAGGTCAAGGTCAAAGTGAGTCTTGAAAATATTTGTGTGTTTGAACAACTACAGAGCAAGATATCAAGAGAGGTTGACCGGTCATGTTTTTTGTTGACATTTAACTTCATCTCAAACTACGACCTGTGATTTGATAATTTGCGGCGGGGGATTATGCCACCTGAGTGACACTGCTTGTCTACTTGTTTAGTGGAACTTGCAGGTGATGTTTTTCCCAAATTGTGAAAAGCTCAAACAAATCTTGTTTTACTGCTTCAAAAATAAGTTAAACCCATCTGACTCTCTCACTCCCTTAATTTAAATTCTAGACCTTTTATCTTGAGCACTTGAATGAAAAACATCCCCAGCATTTTTTCAAGGATTCTGACATTTCCCGCCAAATGAAAACCCCTGTTATCCTATTTGCTGCATTACTTTCTCTGTGGTTTCAGGCAAGTAAGTGTTCAAGTTTTGTTCTATAAATTTAGGTAAACAACATCGAACGTCCCAGGGAATATGAGTCATCAATCAGAAGCAAGGAGCGAGCTAGAGAAGACATCCAGGTCAGTAGTGCAACTAGACTCATAGTAGAAGGGAGACCACATGGGTTAGCATTGGAAATCAGCTGCTACGGGAACTCAGGTTAGCTGTGGAAATCAGTTGCTTTGTACTTGGGTTTACTTCCCTTGAAACGAAGCACCCAGTCAGAGCGGGTGGGCTTGCACTTAAGTGTAACGAAGACTTTCATTGGCTGGTTTATTTGTCGATGCACTCAGGACTCTTTGTGTGTATATAGAGATGTTGGGTTTTGTAACTACATGCACATATTTTGTGTATAACATTTTGCAATCAACAGACATCATCCCATGTCATGTGTACAAGCATCACACCTGCCTGTCTGTGTAATTACATAATGTGACAGAGACAGAACTTGGGTGCTCGAGACATAAATCAATGCATTTTGTTTATGGTGTATAGCCTGATAGGTGTTAAGTTCAAATTGCATGTGGTCAGTGATCAAAGTTGTGTATTGCATATTGTCATTAGCAGACAGGCAGGCAGACACATAGGTGTAAATAAAACAGACATTGAGTTTTGTCTGTGACAGGGGCATATCTATATCACAGTTAGAAATTAAAGTATCAAACAGAGAAAGTGACTCGGTAAGAAGAACGGGTGGTGAAATTGTCAATTGAAATTATATAAACAGTTAAATCGGTAATCTACTGTCATAATATAAGATCGCGCCTGTGAAATATAAAAAAAATATTAGAAAAATAGCTCACATCGAAGCCTACTCCGAGTTCTCACCCCCAGCGAAGGTTTTTCCATCTTGAAATGTCGAACGCCTCACTGGTTGACACATAGCTGAGTAGATCTAGATCCTTAACAAGGTTCCTTTATGTAACGGGTAGATTATCGTGTTATTTTGCAACTTTATAAGTTGAATTTGCATTTTGATCATTTGATATTGTATGTCCATACCAAAGGCATCAGAATCTGCAAAGTTGTGTTTTGCGTTGCATGTGACCTTTAAGATGAATGGGTCATTGTATTATCATATTTTCTTCAGGTTGCTAAAAATGAGCGTCCTCGTCTGCTGACCGAGGCTAAGACGGAGAGAAGAGAGGCAGAGACACAGTCACAGATCATCTTGGACAGGGCCCAATCCGAAGCCAGGATTCTACAAAACCAGTAAGTTATAAGGAGAAACAGGACCAATTCCACGACTACTCGACTGGTTTTTGACATCCGGTGAACATTTGTCTGATTAAGGTCAAGGTCATTTTTTTAGCTGCGAATGTCTTACACTAAGGCAGTGATAATATAGTCATCTGTCAAAGTCAACTGGACAGTTGAATTGAAATGCTTTAGTAATTTATCCTGCAATACAACTGATCTTATCAGTATTTCTGGCGGTGGGGTAGCCTAGTGGTCAGAGCGTTCGCTCGTCACGCTGAAGACCCAAGGTTCGATTCCCCACATGGGTAGAATGTGTGAAGCCCATTTCTGGTGTCTCCACCGTGATATTGCTGGAATATTGCTAAAAGTGACGTGAAACCATACTCACTCACTATCTGTCTTAATCCCCAAATGAGCCCTAACCAGCTGTACAGGTGGTTGGATCTTGCAATTCGGAGTTTTATTTGACATTGAAATTAGTGTCCCATGTGCTGAAATGTACAGCCTGGATGTAGGAAAAGTATATATTCCTCTTAGGGACCCACAGTAATATTCAGTGAAAAAAATGATTTTTGGACAAGAAGGTTCATGTTAAATAACTTTTTCATTTCTGTAGTCTACACCATTTCATTTCTTAACAAGCCCCCGTGAAGATCAGGGTTAGTTGGCCATCAGCAACCCATACATGTCATAAGAGGCAACTAATGGGATTGGATGGTTAGGTGTGCTGACTTGGTTGACACATGTCATTGAATCCCAGTTACGTTCATCGATGCTCATGCTGTTGATCACTGGATTGTCTGCCCCAGGTTCAATTATTTATATACTGCCACCATATAACTGGATTATTGCTGTGTGCAGCATTAAACAATAAACAAACTTCAGACGACCTGCATATTTCCTGTAAAATTAGTAATTGTGGGACCTCTGGACCTGTAGTTCTGTAGGTCAAGGTTAGACACCAATAATAGATTGAAGGAGCAGGTTTGATGATCTGGTTAATTGTGAGTTACTGCACTCCAAAATGAAGATAATTGTTCCTGATATTAATCACAGGTTTCTTTGGATTGGATGTCATTATTAAGCAGTCGCTGTATAGCTGGAATCTTTGTTAAATCTTGCATTTAACAGCCAACAGCTAATCTTGTTAGCTTGCTGTCCATGCTAAGGAACAACCACCTTCTTGCTTGTCCCTAGGGCAAGAGCAGAGGCCGAGGCTATCCTTACACAGTACGAGAAGGAGGGAGAAGCATACGAATCTATCCTCAGCGCGCCAACGGGCTCGGCTTCACCACCGAGGGTTTCATCTCCTACATGGGTGTCCGCGTCATCTCCTCCGCCAAGAACCCAGTCTTCGTCGGGCTACAGAGCCCAGCCAAGTCTTCTTACCAAACCCCTTAGTACTGCTGTCATCCACCTCAAGAGGACAGGTGCTTGTTGGACGCTGTATTGCAGATGTTAAGTTACTCAGTATGTCAATAATTTTAGGCATCATGAAAGAAGTGTCAGTTGTTTAAAGTTGTAAGAAGTCATATACTTATGTATTCTCTCAGAAACTATAAAAGGTGAAGGTCAAGGCCATTATGACAATCAGTTACTGTTAAACATGGTTATGAATTGTATGACACGAAATATTTGACTCCCTATTTCTATATGTGTGTTAAATGACTCAAGTTTTGAATGTTTTTTGATACTTAAATTTATCAATATTCTTGGGCATTTTTAAATAGGAGCAGCTTAAGAATCCCAAACTAATGCAGTCTAGAATTAAGTTGAAATAGACCTCGGGTTTGGGGGATTCGTTACTTGCATGCATTTTATGTGATAAATATCAAACCTCTATGATGGCTCATTATAACTGTTTATTTATGGAGATATTCATTTTGGACTTTAACCATGTTCTACTGTAATTTAAACTGCTGATTAGGACATTTCTTTAGAATCTTTAACTCAAGAATTTTTTTAACCATTTGATACAGTCCTATTTTAAACTCACATATGTCACTTTTGATAAATTCATGGAATTGTCTATTATGTTTTTAGATGTTGCTTTTTTTTCCTCGTAACATAGACGTAAGATCTGATGTAGATGTGAACCTGTTAATGTGAACAATATGTACTGTTTGATGTCCAAGGGTTCTACCCGCTTCATTGTAGCCTCCATAGTTTAATATTAAAATACTTATTATTATGTGAATCTTTGTATTATGCACTCTTGTAATTTGATCTCATTTTTTCTGATCTTTCATCAAAAAATTGTATTTGTATGAATATTATGAATCAAATTGCATTCTGATAATTTTATGTGGTGTTCATTTTGTAATGATGCAAGCAAATTTCAGTTTGTGTGGTTCACTTTGCTTTTCTTACTATTGTTATGTGTTGATATGTTATATTTAGCTTTATGATAATAAAACGCTTTTTTCTTACAACTATTTGGACAGTAGGATAGCCTAGCAGTTAAACCATTCACTCTAAACATCAAAGTCCCGAAATCGATTCCCCAAATATGTTCCAATTTCTGGTGTCCTTCACTGTGATATTGCTGGAATATTGGGAAAAGTGACGTAAAACCATACTCACTCACTCACTCTAACACCTATTTCCCATGACATATTATGCCACTTTTTATAAATTATCACTCATTCGGGTAGAATATTAGTTTTGATAATTTTCCGTTATTCTTTCATGTGTATTTTAGAGACTCTGTATGATCAATGGTCGTTTGAAGTCTTATGACATCACACTGTACTATTCCATTATCTTTTTGTTAAGATGCCAGTCTGATTTCAGTTTGTCATCTGAACTGTAGGCTGCCTACAGTAAATTTTTCTGAAGGCTTGACGATGTGCATAGGTTTTATCTGAATTGTAAATAAGTAGGGTATTAAAGAAACTTGAATGTCAGAAATAGCAGATTATCTGCCCTTCATCAATGAATGCTGTTAGTATGATTCAAGATTCAGGCTTAACTTTCAAACAGGACAGGTGTTCTATACATCCATTTGGATCAGTAATTATTGTCTAATTTGTTCCCCAACAGAAAAGGGAAGAGAAATTAAGAAAAGGACAATAGGGTACAATGTTTACTGTGATGTAAAACAGCATTGTCGATATGACAGTGTATGTGCATGTGGGATTTGGATTCAAGCCTTTGTACTCTATCAACATGGAATTTTGCTTATAATATCAATCACTTGTTTCTTCTTCTTTTGCAGTCATTATGTGACAGTATTATTACCTAGGCACAAAGCAACTTTGGTTAACTTATGGTGATGTTATGCCAGGTTTTTTTTGGTTGTAACGTTTGAAGATTCATCAAACATTTTCATTGTGTCCATCAGTAACAACTTTGATAGTCGTAAATTCTGAGACATATATGGTTACAATCACCAAAGCAGCTCTTGTTGAAAATGCATAAATACGTTAAAAAATGTTAATGGAAGTCACATTTGTGGGTGAACCTATATTGTATTTATCCTCTGTGTACACACATCTATGGTATGATGGTATTTGTTAACGGTATATAGAGAATCTCATTGTAATGTCTCTTGGTAACTAATATATCGGTACAAGGCGATACAGGTGTAGAACATTTTGGCTTGGTGAGTGGTTTTGCCCTTTAATCAGCATGTATGTATATTGTTGATATTAAGAGACATGAAGGCGAGATTCTATTTATCCTCCAAAATCATGATTGTAAAAGTATCAGTTTGTAGTTGTCAAGATTGGCATAGGCTTCCAGCATCCATCCATGAGAGACAAATGGCAAAATGGAATGTTGTTATTATTTTTATACAATTGTTCCTTAACATGCATAATATCGTTTCCTATCTGCCTGTACTGTGTGTTGTCTTCTATATGTTTGTCCTGTCTTCATGTTTATGCTTGTGGTAACAGTTGCCATGTAACCAAGAGTGCCAACCCCCACCTCCAGCCATTAGACATACCATTATGTGTTGGCATCCAGTCTAAGAACCGAGAAGTCTACACATATAGTACAGGACCTGTTGTACAAAGCTATCTTAGCGTTAAGGTGATCATACCTTAACATAGGCTTACTAAAGAAGTAGTGCCAAGGTCGGTTTGTACAACAGGTCTTTGTACAAGGACTTTGTACAATTAGCTTGAATTTTGCAAGAATGTATGACTATGAATGCTCATAAGCTGAGAGCTACTGGTGTACTAGAAGGGGTTGGCACCTTCACTAACAGCACTAACCAATGAGATTGAAGTATTTGTGTACACTGTATATGTGCTGGATAGAACTCATCGCAGACATCTTGAATTTGGTAGTTGGATCATTTGTCTATAGCTGCTGCTAGAACAAATATGCTTGTTGTACCATTATCAAGCAGCTTCAAGAATAAATATGCTTGTAGGGTCATTGTCTAGCTGCTCTTAAAAGAAACATGCTTGTTGGGCCATGGTACAACTGCTCCAAGAACAAATATGCTTGTTGGACCATTGTCAAGGCCCTTCCAGAACAAACATGGGAGATAGATATTTCCTTGCCTCTCTTAGAACAGCTGTTTGTAGTTGGACCTTTGTCTAGTTGCTCCTACAAGAAATGTAGGCACTTGGGGGTCTTAAGTATTGACCTTTGTCTGGCCCCCTCCTGGAACATGTGTTGGTTGGTGGACCTTATGTCTGGTTCTTCTTAGAGAGAATACCAGCTTTTAATACTTGAATAAGTTCAACATGTATGCATGTTCTATCCAAGTTTACTTTAGTGGGAGAAAATACCAGATATCATGTCCTCATTTCAAGCACTTTTCTCCACCAACGGAACATCCCTGGATGCAGATGTTTCTGGTATCTGTAACATCCCTGGATACAGATTTGTCGGTAATCTGTAACATCCCTGGATACAGATTTGTCTGTTATCTGTGACATCCCTGTAACATCCATGGATACAGATTTGTCTGTTATCTGTAACATCCCTGGATACAGATTTGTCTGTATCCCTGGATACAGATTTGTCTGTATCCCTGGATACAGATTTGTCTGTTATCTGTAAGATCCCTGGATACAGATTTGTCTGTAATCTGTAACATCCCTGGATACAGATTTGTCTGTTATCTGTAACATCCCTGTAACATCCCTGGATACAGATTTGTCTGTAATATGTAACATCCCTGGATACAGATTTGTCTGTTATCTGTAACATCCCTGGATACAGATGTGTCTTATCTGTAACATCCCTGTAATATCCCTGGATACAGATTTGTCTGTAATATGTAACATCCCTGGATACAGATGTGTCTGTTATCTGTAACATCCCTGGATACAGATTTGTCTGTTATCTGTAACATCCCTGTAACATCCCTGGATACAGATTTGTCTGTAATCCGTAACATCCCTGGATACAGATTTGTCTGTTATCTGTAACATCCCTGTAACATCCCTGGATACAGATTTGTCTGTAATCTGTAACATCCCTGGATACAGATTTGTCTGGTTTCTTCTTCTTGCCGGACAATGACTGATGACTGGGCCTTTGTGAAACTGGTGTTGGCTGTTTTGGGTGTAAGAGTTGTTCTCAGGTTTATGTATCTCAAGGTACAGGTTTCAACATACCAGTCATATTTCTCTACTTCTGTGGATGTGCATATTTCATCCTTGTTACATTTCTGGAAAGGTTTAAAAGTATATGTGTAACATGTAGCCATTAAAGATCAACATGCATCTTTTGTGTGAATGAAATAAACTGTTACTGTCAGATATGAGTTGGTGTCGTGTGCAATTGTCAGATACACACTGATACAGTATCAGCTGATGCTGGAGAAAGTCATGGATAAGTGTGGAATATATTATGAACCATTTGTGGAATATATTTGAACCAGTAGTATCTATAACGATGATTTATGATGTAGAATTCATTGCCAGAACAGCAATATCACAGCGGGGGACAGCAAAGATTGGCTACACACGTTGTACCCATGTGGGGAATCGAACCTGGGTCTCTGGCGTGACGAGCGAACACTTTAACCACTAGGCTGCCCTACCGCCTCCGTGATGTAGTGGTTAGAGCGTCCGGCCGGAGAGCGGAAGGTGGCGGGTTCGATCCCCGACCGCGTCATACCAAAAGACGTTAAGATATGGTACTTGTTGGTCCCTGCCTGGCGCTCGGCATTAATGGGTTCAACAGGGACTGGTCGGCTCGGAGTCTGAGTTGGGTATTCACGCTTAACTGCGGAATGGTATCTCAGTGAGCTTGCACTATAAAACCAGCTTAAGGCTGGGATAGTACAAGCAGCCACACATACACACGCATGCACGTCGTCATATGAGCGAAATAAGGACGTTAAACCCCATGTCACCTCACTTCACCCCACCGCCCTTGATCAAGCGAACAATACAAATAGCAATGTTGTAATATCAGTGACAGTGTTTGGCCTTGGTTTGTAATGCTTGTTATCTACTATAAAGGATAAACACAGCCTGCGCTGTAAAATGACTCCACCAGAACGCTATATATATACACCCATATTTAATCCCCTGACAGTTCTACAGACGTTGTCGTTGTTGTCTCCGAGCCAGCTCAATGGCAAAAGCTTTAAGTCCCTTGAGAGTATCTGCAGCCACGACAGGTATCTGAGAGGGGTTAAGGATGAAACCCGTGTACCCTCCGAACGCGTCCCTCGGGGGGAGCTCCACTGTGTAGGAGTATTTGATTCTACAAGCTCCCTTGGCATAGTCATCAGACCCTCCCGCGGCGGGATCTGAATTGAACACAGATGATTTAGTCAGTACAGCTTTCATGTGCGCTTTGAGCATATATTGCTCGTTGAGATCTTTTTTTCAATTTTTGGACTACTGATATTAAGCCCCAGTTACTTCTAAAAGGTAGCTGTTATAATTACGGGAAAACAAAAAGTTATTTGTAGGACTGATTCGGTATTATCGCAATATCGCAATACTTTTTTCAAACAATACATTGTTATTGCAATATTTGTTACTGAGAACTGGTATATTGGGTCAAGAACATATATTTGTGATAATCCTCATGATATAAATAAAAATCTACACAGACATTAATATACAACAGAAGTTTCCTTCGTTATTCAATGACAAAACGGCATACTGTAATACTATAAATTGTATAAAGAATAAAATAGAATCCATGACTGCAACCTACCTTTGAGATTGCTGTTATCAGAACCATGACATATATGTTTAGGGACTTATAATGTAGAACATAGGATTGACATGCACAATTAGTGTCACTCACTGTCGAACACTTAAGTTCCCATTATGTCGCAATACGTATCGCAATACGGGTACCTGAATCGCAATATATTGCCATACAATTTATTTGCCAATACACAGCCCTAGTTATCAGTAGTGGTGTTCCGATTACTTGAAATAATCGAAGATTGGTCGCAGTGACCAAACGACCAAGCAATCGATGACATTTTCTCAAAATCGAACACAAACGATTTTGGAACTACTGGTTTAATGTTTGAAACACTTGACGACGGAACATATCTTTGAAGTTGTCAGGGCCTGAAAATGTGTTTTATTGTTAGAAAACTCACTTGACTAACTGAAAAGTAATGACTGACTATTTCTTGAAGACTCCAGGAAGTTTTTGTTCATGATACATTGTATATCAATAATCACATTAAAGTAGCAAGTTGCATCATGTTATACTTATCTGCAACAACAACCTGAATAGAAAAATCTGAAAAATGATGCTAACCAATTTTTTTCGATGATTGATCGGCTATAATGAAACAATCATCAAATATGAGATTTTAACCAATTCCCAACACTAGTTATTAGCATGACATGTCTGTTACAACCACGACCATAGAAACAGTAGAAGACGTTACCCTGTCTCTGTGTGTAGCTTAGGCGGTGGGGTAGCCTAGTGGTTAAAGCGTTCGCTAGTCACGCCGAGGATTCCGGTTCGATTCCCCACATGGGTACAACGTGTGAAACCTATTTCTGGTGTTCCCCGCTGTGATATTGCTGGAATATTGCTAAAAGCGGCGTAAAACCATAGTTTTACTCACTCACTCACTCACTGACTATGTGTAGCTGGTGATACTTACACAGATCCTTCCCTGATGATCCGATGACGTAGTCGCTCGACATGGCGTTCACTGCAGTTCGAGCCAAAGACGCCTAGAACAGTCAGAACATTTATACAAGATACGATGTCTCAAATTACTGTTACTAAATTTTACGATAGAAATTAGCTGATATTTTGAGAGTGTGGAGTATGTCTTTTAAAATACTTGACACTTCTGGTGGTGACAGTGGAATGAAGACAGTCATAACAAATGAATATGGTTTAACGTCTGTGTCAGCGATAGTTAAGCTATATACGGCCGTCTATATATATTAATCAAATCTGGTCGAGGGAAACCGGTGATTATATGCAACGTCCCACGCCGTGGGTGTACCATTTACTGTCAGTTACCCTAGTCATTGGGACTGACTGAGGGAGTGAGTGAGTTGAGTTTTACGCCGCACTCAGCAATATTCCAGCTATATGGCGGCGGTTTGTAAATAATCGAGTCTGGACCAGACAATCCAGTGATCAATAACATGAGCATCGATCTGCGCAATCTGCGATGACATGTGTCAACCAAGCCAGCGAACCTGACCACCCGATCCCGTTAGTCGCCTCTTACGACAAGCATGGGTTACTGAATGTACATCATTTATAGTTCCAATATGTTAGATTTATTTGCTAGTCTTAATGGACATCTGTGATACACTAGTAGTTTTACTGTTCTTCGTCAACAGGTTTTTTAATTTCTAACTTTATTCATCTTTAATATAATTATAAAATGTTCTCGTCACAATATGGCTGAAACATTGCCGATGTGACGATAAATATTAACGCACTCACTCACTCACTGAATGTACATTCTAACCCGCACCTTCACGGGTACATTGGGACTAAGAACTCAATCTAGTACATATAGTCTTTCTCACGACAATTATGTCGCCTGTTATGACACAACAAATATAACATAAAGCCATTGAGGAAAAAAATCGCATAATATGAAGACCATGCTTAGATGTGGACGAATGTGAAATGAAGACATCATAGTTAACCAGAGCATCCTCCTGTTTGTTCATTATTGTCGCTTTGTTGTTTAACGTCGTATTCAGCAATATTCTAGCTAAATGACAGCGGTCTGTAAATATTCGCGTCTGGACCACACGCCAAGTGATTGACATTATGAGCATCGATATTGGCAATTAGGACACGATGACATGCATCAACCAATCAGCAAGCCTGACCACCCGACCCGTTAGTCGCTTCTTAAAAGCATGGGTTACTGAAGACCAATTCTAACCCGGATTTTCACCGGGCTCAGCAAATATATGCAATACTGTGGGTGACAAACGCCTAAGCAAGACTATGCAATATAGACGTGCGTGTGTGCGTTGATCAACTTAGCCCTACGGCCGTCGTAAATGTCTATTCAAAAAGGTGTGAGATTCACCTCACCTGAATCCCTCACACCAAGTTATCCCAGTTTCATGTTTCAGAGGTTTGTTTGAGTCGTCCATTCAGACAAAATATCTGATTACACAGGTGTGTCTAAAGGTTCGTGAAGGCAACGTATAAGACATTCGTGACTATTCGTGTTATTCCGGGAGAACCGTTTTGGCAGGTTACGGAAATGGGCGAACGGTCACGAATGATAGTTAGTGAATGCTTCCATTGTATTTGAAATATTACGGCGTGATGGCTCCATGTCGGAGGAAAGCTCGCTGAAAGTGATGCTGGCCATGGTCTAGGACGTCTACCGTTTTGTAAAACATGTAGCACGGGTAAAGCGCAGATAAACTGAGGAGTGAGTGAGTGAGTGAGTTTGGCTTTACGCCGCTTTTAGCAATATTCCAGCAATATCACGGCGGGGGACACCAGAAATGGGCTTCACACATTGTGCCCATGTGGGGATTCGAACCCGGGCCTTCGGCGTGACGAGCGGACGCTTTAACCACTAGGCTACCCCACCGCCCCTGATAAACTGAGGAATATAACCAGAGTAAATCTGGGATTCGAAAAGATGATCATAACCCCTGAGGGACAGAACACAACGCTCCTTCGTAGACTATTTCCCGTCCTACCCTTCTCACCCCTCCCATATCCCCTTGTCCATACCCCTCCCCTGTCAAAAGCCTCCACCCGTATCGTCCACACCTCCTCCCCCCAAAAACACACGCGCACACGCACGCACGCGACTCCAACAAGGTGATTATGATTGCCAGATATCTGACGTACCAGTTCATCGTGGTCGGATGCCACGGAGTAGCTGCTGTAGCCGTATGGGTAGAGGAAGTACTGTCCGTAAGAGTGGAAGGTGAGGTAGGCCTTGATCGAGGGCCCGTGATGTCTCATGAAGCCACCCAGGTTCCTGGACTCCGGGATGGAGAAGGCGGAGCTGCCCGAGAACACTTCTTCACAGGGGTTAGTGCTGCCGCCAGAATCTGTGAGTGAGTGAGTGAGTCGGGTTTTACGCCACTTTTAGCAATATTCCTAAAGAATGGATTGACACGACTGGTGGGATCAATCATGATACATATAACATCGATATGGATTTAGTGATATAAAACTTGAGTGAGTGAGTAATGTTTTACACCGCCTCATAAACTATTCCAGCAATATCACGGAAGGGAACACCAGAAATGGGCTTCACACATTGTACCCAAGTCAGAAAATCGAATGTGAGCCTTCGCGGCATTTAACCATCAGACTCCCCCACCGCCCCACCGGAAATCTGATGGGGATAGGGACAAAGGTGAAATCATTTGATGAATGTATGCGAGAGTCGAGCTTAAGTCGTTTTAAAGACATTCGGTTATACGTGTAACGTTAATGTGTGGGGAAAGTCTATAGCGATGCTGATCTAACCATTTTGGTAATCATACAAAGTTTGGCATGGTGCTGAAAATATCAGAAATATACTGACAGCGAACAGGGATTCGAACAAGATGTAAGAATTTATTGTACATCACTTTCTCATGCACTTTTTAATGCTAACATTTGTTAGGTTTTCTCTTGTTTAATGGCCTGATTTTGCAATCATAATTTTTCATAATCTTCCATAAACTGATCTTACTTAAACCATGTTGCTCTACAAAATACGAGACCTATGGCCAGATTCAGAAGGAGTCCTCACATGGGTTCCAGTGGAAGTCGAAGTTCCTGTTGGCGTCGGTGCCCTTACAGGAGCTGCCAGGGTTGACGTTCATCGTCTTCCTCCACGACCTGTCCTATAGCAAACACCATTGATGTATCACAACAAAACAGCTGGCTTCATACGTTTAGGTTCCGTCCTGTTCTCGTCTACCCTGCCTATGTTCCAATGAACCTACCCTTACCTACGTTCCACCCTATCTGCCTTGTCTCTCCATGTCCCACCCTTTCCACCCCGATCCTATGTCCCATCGTGTCTACCCTTGTCAATACCCACCATGTATACCCTACAGTATCTACCCCTATATCAACACTCAACGTGGTATCTCTAACACTACACAAACCGTACATATTTCCGGACTACAATATGCAGTCACAATCACTCGCACGCACGTTTCTACACGAGTTGACCCCATGTTAACCCTGTATGCCGCGATCCTCAATGTATATTGGAACTACCCAGCTTCCCCGCCCACCCCAGCTTACCCTAAGCCGACTGTATTCGTATCCATCCGGGTTCACCAAGGGCATGAGGTACCAGTCAAAGTCGTCCAACATGGCCTGGATTTCACGATCCCTGCCGAAAGCCAACTGAAACACCCAAAGGAACACGTATATGTTTGTTGTTTAACGCCACACTGAGCTATATTCCAGCTACCCGGTATATGGGGCGGTCATATAACCGAGTCTGAACCAGACAATCCAGTGACTGACATCATGAGCAACACACAAAGGAACACGTATATGTTTGTTGTTTAACGCCACACTGAGCTATATTCCAGCTATATGGGGCGGTCATATAATCGAGTCTGGACCAGACAATCCAGTGACTGACATCATGAGCATCGATCTGCGAAATAGGGATACGATGACATGCATCAGCCGTGTCAGCGAGCCTTGCCATCCGGCCCTGTTAGTTGCTTATTACAAGATTGGGTTGCTGAAAATCAATTCTGAACCGGTTTTTCAGGGGTAAGAGGGGATTTATAAAGTAATTAAATGTAATTAATGTTATTTTTGGGATTAAACTTTACAGATTCTAGTACTGAGTCCTGATCTCCAGCGTACAAAGACAGCCATCTAGCCGACTCAGCCATCGCATGGAGATGTACGCTGCAGTTGCAATGTAAATGTAACATTACCATAGGCCCCCCTTCCTCTTGAATGGTCAAACTGAATGACATATGCTTTCCTTTAACACGTAAATGTTTTATTACAGATCATGTAACACGTTTTTTTGGCCAAGTCGTCTAAGGATCATCAATTCGTAGAGTTACACCCTTTAGGCATTTAGGTGTTCTGATCCTGTTTCGCCGTTATTACGTTTCTAGATTTGTAAGCACCATACCCGTATTGGAGCTGCTTACCAAACAGATAAACGTCTGAGACTCACATCACGTCGGGCGTTTCTCCAGCATCAGGCTGACACTGCTCAAAGCGGCGTTAGGCCCAACTCACTCACTCACTCACTCACTCACTATTTCCGTCCCCGCCTCTACTCACCTGATAGATGAAGTTGATGACGACGGCAGGGGCGATCCACTCCCTGGCATGTATTCCGCCATCAATCAAAATGGCGGGCTTGGTTCTGCCGTCGTAGCGATAGATCTATGAAGTAAGTGGCATCATAATAGGTTTGTTCTGACGAAAACTCTACACTGGTGTTCATTTAATGACACTCTTCGTGATGAATTACTCATTTGCTGTAGGCGATAATTGTCCAATATTCGTTGTACAACTACGTCACATCTAGGAATAGTTCTGAAAAATAGGAGGCCTGACTCTGCTTGGGTCACTGTGTCCTGATAATGCTCGGAAACTCTTTTCCATATGTGCTAAAGACTGATAAAAACTAAACACTCCTGACCATGGCTTCACGTTGTTGTGAAAAACATCCCGTCTTCAGGAACTAACAATTATGTAGTTGTGACAAGCGCCAAATCGAGGAAAAGAAAATTTCACAACAATTATTCTCCTCACATATGCCTTTATGTCATTGCAGACAAAAATAACTGAAACATCCTCTTGCCCTGATGTTTTGAAAAACACAACTGAAGACACTAACTACCTCACAACTAAATGTCCCTAACCTTGCCTGATGATGAACAACGGCCTATCTGCGGACATTAACGAAAACACTCTCACTGACACACTCAAGTCCACTCCCAACAATCTCACACCTCCTGTCCTTCAGCATGTACCTTGATCATGGCCTGGTCATTGCCCTGTGTGGTCTTCCCGATGGAGAAGTAGTCGGCGTGGACGTTGGGAGACTTGTTTGTGCTGTTGGACACGGCTTGGAGGTAGTCAATAACCTGAGAGTCAGAGTCAGGCACTATAACGTTAGCATCTATCGTATGTTTTACTTCGAACTATAGCGTTACGTGTCACAAGGACCGGCAGCTTGTCGACTCAAGATTATAGAAATAATAGCAGCAACGATCCACGCCTGTTCTTGGCATCGAGTACTTACAGATAAAATATATGTTTCCATATGGTTGCCACAGCAAAAATATATCTGTTTCCATTTGGTTGCCATAGCAAAAATATATGTTTCCATTTGGTTGCCACAGCAAAAATATATCTGTTTCCATTTATATCTGTTTCCATTTGGTTGCCACAGCAAAAATATATCTGTTTCCATTTATATCTGTTTCCATTTGGTTGCCACAGCACGAATTTCAACTAACACATTATTTTTGAAAATTGTAACGTGATGGAAGCTTTTCATAATAATTCGTTATGTCATGTCCACACACAATTTTCCTATCCTCCATAAATGCCGATGGTAAAACATGTCTGTTTAACAATGTATAATTTCTGATTCTGGCGATAGAAAACATGAGTCTAACCTCTGCGTAGGAGTGGTAGTTGAGGGTGTAGGATTGGATGGAGGGGGTGGCGCGGCGCCTGATGTGGTGCATGGAGCGACGTTCCTTCTCAAACACGCTGCAGTAAATGGAGAGCTCTTCAATTATAGCATATCAGCAATTTATCAACTGTTGACAAACCCATTTGTCACTGATAAACCACTTTCTAAAATGGCATCGTGTAATCACATTAGATTATTATCTAAAATTATCAAAATACTAAGTATAGCAGACTATTTTAAATAAATTGCACTATATATTTCCATTCAAAATGAAATTGGGGCGGTGGGGTAGACTAGTGGTTAAAGCGTTCGCTCGCCACGCCAAAGATCCGGGTTCGATTCCCCACATGGGTATAATGTGTGAAGCCCTTTTCTGGTGTTCCCCGCCGTGATGTTGCTGGAATACTGCTAAAAGCGGCGTAAAACACATCTCACTCACTCACTCAAAAAGAAACTTATTTGTTGAGGATGTCTGCTGTTAATTGCGTCAATGAACACCATCGTCATCCTCAACCAGAGGAAATGATAAGCAACATTTAGATGAATTATTGATTGGAAACTAAGGAACAAAGTGAAAACATCCAGTGCAACCTGTTACTGCTATCTGACGTGAAAATGAAACAGTAAAACAAACCGGAAAAGCTTGGCATTTCAGTTTGTGGGTAATCAATAGAGAACTACCACAGCTAACACATGTAAAACGTTCTGACAGCTGTGATCTGTGCAATACGTATCATCACCTGGAACAACTCGCAGCCCTGGCACACCTGGCGTGCATAGCATACGCAGCATACGTAGCATACGTACGATGTAACGTTTTCGGTCTTGAATTTATTGCACGCCATGACACTTATACGTCATACGTAGTGTGTGCCGAATGTATGTCATATCTATTGTACGTACGTTCAGTTCTCTTACATACATCCTGTTACCTGTCACAGGTAACTCACGTACCGGTATCTATCAAACGTGTCATAGGTACGTTCACCTGTCACAGGTAATTCATTTACTGATTTCTCTGAAACGTGTTACATGTGACGTCACTTGCCATAGGTAATTAACGTACCGGTACGTACCAATCGTAATTATTCACTTAATGTTACCATCTTTAAGCATTCGGAGTAATATTACCCATATATATTGTGCAAGGTACGTTACGTAGATTGTCAACTGTCACAGGAATACTCGTATCAAGCTTGTTACACCTAACTAACCTCTCACTCGGAACGACGTACCTTCAAATGGGGCACAAGTCTCTCCTGATTTTGCCCGCACTTCAGGATGTTGATTACATAAACTGTAGAATGTAGTTGACCACGGGAAGTTGTAACATATTTACCTTTCCACATTATCGACCACCTGCTTTGACTCCATCTTGAGTTTGTCAAACACCGCATTGAGATCGTGCAACACATCGGGGCCGACCATGATGTCTATGGTGTCGTTGACGGCGTGTGGAATGTGCCAAAAGTTCAGCTGCTCGACAGATAACATATAGTTAACTGCGGTTAAAATAAAATAAAATATAAAATGCATTAATACCGCCCCCCCCCAAAAAAAATAAAAATAAAATAAAAACAAATAAATAAAAAAAATATAAAAAAAATAAAAGAAAGAAGAAGAAAAAAATAATAATAATAAAAAAATAAAAAATAAAATTAAACTACGGTTATAACGAACTCAAAAGGACCACTAATTGTAGTTCATTACAACTGCAGTTCGTTATACGTATTTCGAATAAGATGTACAGCAAGTGTCCGGGACATTAGAATGTTTCGTTACAAGCTTGTTCGTAATAACCGTAGTTTATCGTAACTGTGATGACTGTGCGATGTTTCAAGGCACATATGACCCCGCTCAGGGCATGAAGGCAAACTAGCCAATCATGTTTGGATACGTTACTGGCTGAAATACACTGTGTAGATTCATATCAATACTAATTCTTGTAGCAGTTTCGGTAACTTAAGAGGGCAGTGGGGTAGCCATGTGGTTAAAGCGATCGCTCGTCAAGCCGAAGACCCGGGTTCGATTCACCACATGGTGACAGGCACATGTTGTGTCCCCCGCCGTGAAATTGCTGGAATATTGCTAAAAGGGAGGCGTAAAACTCAAGTCACTCACTCACTCCGTTACTTACAGGTAGATGGCTGGTCTCGGACATAAACTGCTGCAGCTGATCATGGGATGACGAAACAGCCTGGTGGACGGTGTACCTGTGTCAGAGTAGAACACAACACTGGCAGAGTACGTGGAGAGGGATGTGTGGTGAGGAGGGCGTGGCTGTATTTATGTGACTGCAAGGGGCGTTGGGGTAGCCTACTGGTTAAAGCGTTCGCTCGTCACGCTGAAAACCCGGGTTCGATTCCCTACATTGATACAATGTGTGAAGCCCATTTGTGGTTTACCCCGCCATAATATTGCTTAAAGCGGCATAAAAGCAAATTCACTCACTCACTCATTCACTCACTCACTCTGCGGCTGAAGTCGATATTCGTGTAACCCATCACATTTGGTTCAGTTACAGACACTGTACGTACTCCCAGTGATGAAACCCCCTGCTCCCCGTACGTCAGTGAACCGGCTGTTGCACGCTATCATATTCTAATTTATTTGATGGAACCTCACGAAGTCAATCCCCGGAGTGTCATCAAACCATCTACTTTGCCCTGTGATGTTCATGTTATCTTTAATTAATAGGGGCGGTGGGGTAGCCTAGTGGTTAAAGCGTTGGCTCGTCACGCCGAAGACCCGGGTTCGATTCCCCACATGGGCACAATGTGTTAAGCCCATTTCTGGTGTCCCCCGCCGTGATATTGCTGGAATATTGCTAAAAGCGGCGTAAAACTAAACTCAGTCAGTCTTTCATTAATACCGTGCAAAGGGGTCATCAGTATCGCACTCCATATACGTGCGGTTTGAGCTCGATTTGTTACTTGCAGCATGGTACTGATGATATATTTTACCGGCATTTAATTATTATGGTCACATCTGGGAAACTTACACAAACGAACAATTCAGGTTCCAAGGCAAATTACTTAGATCCATTGAGGACAACGAGGAACAAGCCATTATAAAGTATCTGAAGAAACAAACTTTCAGGCCCTAAGTAGAAAACAATATGATAAAAAACAACAACTTTCCTTTATAAAATGACCTACAACTTAACGCCTGATTATCTTAGAGATCGTATTCCATCTGCAGTGGCCGATACCGATTAGTATAACCTTATAAATAATTCTGTATCCAAACAATACATTGCAGAACAAACCATCATGAAACATCTGACAGTATGAAACTTCCCAACAAATATACTAGCCCATCGGCTATCCAGCTATAAAAGAACGATCAGACTGAAACCAAAACCTTGTATATGTTTCAATTTAAATCAAGGAAGTTGCTTCTGTGAAATTTAGTCTTACCTACAATTCCTACTCGGCTGTAGAGATTTAAACCACCGTAAATTTGAAAGATACGTCTCTGGGTATATATATTGCTCCATGGCCATCAATATGCTGATTGCTTTTACATTTGTCCAAATTTCACTGATGGTGTTTCTATGATATGTTTTTTTGTATGGGTCGGTTTTCACATAAGCTGTAAAAGCTTGTTCACCAATCCCTATTCATTCAATTACTGAAAATACCATATCCCTTACACGGAATCCACCACATCGTTTTGTATCATTCTGTATCATATGACATTGGATTCATAATCCTGTATCAGGAATTATTTGTGTAATTGAAATTCCATCATAAATTGCGCCATTAAAGCGTAATTTATGCCCTCACCATGTTCTATCTAAAATATACTATAACATAGTAAAATATATTATACTTTGTTCACAATGAAACGACAATGAAAGCATGTTCTCAATTACTGAGCATATAACAGTACTGTTCAATTTAAAGCGTTAACAAATGACATTCGTACATCAAATTCCATAATGTGCCAACTGATATCGCCATTAGCTTGACAAAGGTTTCACACATTACACATTGTACCTGTGGAGTCACTGATGGGCAGCCCCGCCGTGATGTTGCTGGAATATTGCTAAAAGCGGCGTAAAACCAAACTCAGTCAGTCAGTCAGTGATGGGCAGTGATTAGCTATGTTTAGACAAATAAACCTTGTAAACATCTCCAGTGACCCTGAGAATATTGTGGAATTTTCTACGCTTTTTCTTTTGTATATAAGGGGGAGCTAGCTATGGCCTCTTATCTCACATTAATTACATCTCAAGTCTCGGAAAAACTAGCATTTTTTGTTTTGCGTGATCACTTTACACTCTGGATACTCTCTACCTAGCCCTAGCCCTAGCCCTAGCCCTAAGGGGATTACTGTAGCTGAGAGGAGAATATTTCTATCTTTATTACTATGGCGACTCCTCTTGTATAATTATATTACCTCTGAAATTGTATTGCCATAGCGATATCTTTGTGTTGGAAATGGGTGGGAATGAGCCAAATCCGCCATTATTATTTTATGACGTCATCAACACCTGTGTGACCTCATTAGGCATAGACTATTCTAGAAGCATGACCGCATTTCACAATGACCTTTGAGAACATAGTCCCAAATCCGCCATGTTGGTGACCTAATTGAACACCTGGCTGTCACCGCGACCGTGGGTAAACGCGATGGGCCAACCCCAGTCAGCATGAGTCACACCGGATCCGTTTCCCACCACAGGGGGGTGTCACGCTTAGAAACAGCGAAAGACATATACAGTACAACCACAAATTATTGAGAATTTAAAGATTATAATTTTTTATATTTTTTTCACTCATTACTCACGTATTAAATGGGAATATTAGCAGAACATAACTCCAGATTCAAAGACAGGTGAACAGTTAGTGTTTTGTCAAGTCACCACGGGCAGCAATGCAGGCTTCAATGCGGCGGGGCATACTACTGATCAAAGAAGTTAGAAAGTCATGGTCCATGCTGTCCCAACATCGGACCACCTCTTCTTTCATTTCAGCAATATTTGTCAGATTTTTCTTATTGACACTTTCCTTCATAAATCCCCAAACATTTTCTATTGGATTTAGGTCAGGGCTATAGCTTGGCCAATCTATTGATGTCATATTTTGGGTCCGAAACCAGGCCTGTGAATGCTTTGAACGATGTTTTGGGTCGTTGTCCTGTTGGAAAATCCAAAACTTTCCATAGAACACGTGAGCAGATGGAAGTAAATGTCCCTCGAGAATATCTCTGTACCGCTCACTGTTCATATTCCCTTCAAATACACAGAGGGGCGTTGCCCCTAACACAGATATGCCACCCCACACGTTAAATTTCGGACTGTACTTTGGGCGCTGATACAAAGGTTTTTCAGTTTGTTTGGTCCAGAATTTCAGTGTATTAGGAAACAGCCACACAGAACTTTCATCTGATAAAATCGCATTGTCCTAGTTAAAATTTCTATGCTGTGAGCACCAGTTCAACCTTCGCTCCTTTTGTTCAGGTTTCATGATCGGTGATGGAATTCTTCGACTTTTCTGCCAACCCATTGCATGCAGCTCAGTTCTAATTGTCTCCTTACAGACAGCCACAGTTCCCCTATCAATCATATCCAGCCCCAAGTTTTCTAAACTCCTTCGTTTGTTTTTAGAAACAAGAATACCAATTTTCTGGGCCTACCTGCGCCTCCCTGGTGCTCAATGCCATATCCATTTGCAATATTTTTCAAAACACGATAAACAGTGGACAAAGGGATGCCTGTTCTACTTGAAATCACTTTAGCTGATCTGATGTGCTTGTTAAAATACTCTAATATCAACTTCCTCTTCTCTAAATCATCCATACTGAGGATCACTGAAAATGTCGTCTGTTAGCAAGTAAACAAAGGGGGATAACTCTTCACAAACTAATGATTAACGGAGTTGTCTCTCTTGAATGAAACCAAGCACTTGAAAGCTGGTCAGGGTTGTTTATACTAGAAATCCAATTAAACATATTCCTAAAATTCTCAATAATTTCTGGTCAAACTATAGGTACATAGACCCTACCCTAGTACTATATAAAAGGATCCTTTTATATAGTACTAGGGTAGGGTCTATATACCTATATGTCTTTCTAACGCTATTTCTTAGCGTGACACGCCCCTGTGTTTCCCACGGGTTACGGGGTCATTGGCCCATTGCGCTTTCCCACGGTCGCGGTGTCAGCCGGGTATTCAACTGGGTCACCAACATGGTGGGACTGTCTTCTCCAAGGTCATTGTGAAGTGCGGTCATGCATCTAAACAAGTCTATGCCTAATGAGGTCACACAGGTGTTGATGACGTCATAAGACAAAATGGCGGATTTGGGACCAATCAAACCTCTGTACAACATCTTTGGACTGAATTTGTATTGATATGTGAATTTAGTTAATTTTGCAATACAATTGTTAATTACAGAACATTTCTTTGTTATTTGTTGGTTTCGTGCTTAGTTCCATAACGGACTGGCATCCGGTTAAAGGTCACATGCAACCAAAAAATCAAACATAATTAAAACACAATTATCATTTATTCATGACATATTATATACATTGCTGGTTATGAAAAAACATATAAACAAAATTATAAGCGTACAATCGCAAATCAAAAGTGCAATATTGTGTACTTGGGTTTACTTCCCAAGAAACGAAGCAGCCGGGATACCGAACCCAGTCAGAGCGGGTGGGTGTGCACTCAAGTGTAACGGCTGGTTCATTTGCAGATGCCCTCACGGCTCATTGTGTGCTTCCAAGCTGCGTGAACCTATTTCACTGCGCACGTGCTATGAGCGCAGCCCAGCTGTTGACACCAGTTTTCCCCCGAAAAGTCGGGGGAAAATTAGTGAAACGTTTGAACTCCGATTTCGCGCGGTTTTTTTCAACGCGTTATTTTTCAACTTTATCAGTTGAATTTGCATTTTTGACGATTTGTTTCGGTAAGTCCATACCGAAAGGTATCAGAATCTGTTGTGTTTTACGTTGCATGTGACCTTTAACTATTTAGTTTCAATTTATGAATCAACATGTAACACGTTTTATAAGACTGATTTGCATAATGTTGGCCCAGATGTAAAAGACCCCGTGAAGATCCGTGTTAGAATTGGTCTCTATCAGCAACCTATGCTTGCCGTAAGAGGCGAGTAACGGGATCGGGTGGTAAGGCTCGCTGACTTGGTTGACATATGTCATCGTATCCCAATTGGGTACATCGTTCATGACGTTGATCACTTGATTGTCTGATCCAGACTCGATTATTTATAGACCGCCGCCACATAGCTGGAATATTGCTGAGTGCGGCGTTAAATAACAAACAAGCGAAACAAGCGGATTTAATAGATTAAATTGCATACTGTTAACGTTGATTGCTACTGGATTTTAATAGAACTAACCAGAACCTCTCTCACTATAGATTGTGATTTTGTTTTAAACTGAAAGTAAAGTTTATTTCTTGTGGCATTATGGGGCATGTACATGAGGAAATACAAAACAATATTTTGCATTTATATGACTAAATATCAATAAAAATTTAATGTGCGAAGAAAGTCATTTAATAAATTTCTTCTTCTAATAAGTGTCTATTTGAATGTATTAGTCTCCATACTCTCCTTGTTACAAGTATTCGTAACATTTGTTTAATGGTGTCAGTAAGTTTAAAGTCATGGCTTGTTGACATGCGAGCAATATTAAGCTGAGATCTTCTTGTTTTCAGTAGAGATAACGTACAAGAGTATAACTGAAAGTCCACGGTCATTGCATCTGAACAAGGTGATTATTGGCATCTTACTTCTTTAAGTGGCATTTACTCTGATAATTGGCATGTACCGTACAGGTGAGTGAGTTTAGTTTTACACCGTTTTTAGCAATATTCCAGCAATATCACGGCGGGCTACACCAGAAATGGGCTTCACACATTGTACCCATGTGGGGAATCGAACCCGGGTCTTCGGCGTCACGAGCGAACGCTTTGACAACTAGGCTACCCCTCTGCCCCGTACCGTATAAGTAACACAAACCATATCCACCATTTTCAAGTAATTACAATACATCTTTCACTGCCTGTGCAACCATTTCTTCTGGTTAATCTGCTGTGTACATTAAAACTTAATGTCTACTCACGCGTCGCGTAACGCGAAAGGAACAAGCACCAAACGCTATAATCAGTTATCAATCCATATTATTGCAGGAACAGAGCCTAATGCCGCTAACTTACTTAGTACTAACTTAGACTCAAAGGCGAATTCAAGGAATGCTACACTCAACTTATATAGTAGTAGACGTAAAATATTTTATTTCTCACATACAAATCAATTATATAACAAAACATGGCAATTATCACCACCTTACGAATGTATATAAGGAAAAACGATTTTGTCAACATCATCTTTACAAAATTGTTTAGACTTTGTATATCAGTGTATAGCTGGTCTGTTTATGCAGATCTGTTGCCGAGGTTTCCTCTCCCAGTCTTACATATAGTTACTAGAAGTGAAACCCTCTGACCAACATATGTTAGGCACATAAACGAGGGTAAAACAAATATTCCTCTCAACTGCATAATAACGATTATTTACAGGTGAGTATGGATTAATATCAGCACATAGCTCTGACGACAGGCAAACGAAAAAGATTATACGAGTATTTCAATCGTGACACTCTTCGCCTGAAAGATTCGAACTATGAAAGGAAATAAATATAACAATATACACAGTGGATAAACAAACAAACAACATTATTGAGATTAAAAACAGTGGCGAAGGTGATTAAAAAGGAAAGGTGTAATATCAAAATTAAACAATGTCTTAAATTAAGGGCTAGAACGTCCTACCCATCGTAACGTATCCTCTGTGTGTCGTCTGCTCCAACTACATCGACGGCGACAAGAGTCGCCACCAGCACGGACAACACTCCAATCATTCTGTACAAACAAAAAGGCATATGTTACAGCCCGCAGCGTATGGTAGACAGAGAGAAATGTTATTAATATGGTATGTAGCATGTGCGCGCTGAAGGTGTATACTAAAAATCTATATTTCTATGTGATTGTTTTAAGTGAAAGCGGATTGGGATTTCATGGGTTTGTAACGACTTTGTAATTGTGAGGTGTTTGACAAGCGATTGTAAATAATGAGGTGTACAGTAGGTGCTTCATCAAGACAAATACTTTGTAATTGTGAGGTGTTTGACAAGCGATTGTAAATAATGAGGTGTACAGAAAGTGCTTCATCAAGACAAATACTTTGTAACTGTGAGGTGTTTGACAAGCAATTGTAAATAATGAGGTGTACAACAGGTGCTTCATCAAGACAAATACTTTGTAACTGTGAGGTGTTTGACAAGCGATTGTAAATAATGAGGTGTACAACAGGTGCTTCATCAAGACAAATACTTTGTAACTGTGAGGTGTTTGACAAGCGATTGTAAATAATGAGGTGTACAACAGGTGCTTCATCAAGACAAATACTTTGTAACTGTGAGGTGTTTGACAAGCGATTGTAAATAATGAGGTGTACAACAGGTGCTTCATCAAGACAAATACTTTGTAACTGTGAGGTGTTTGACAAGCAATTGTAAATAATGAGGTGTACAACAGGTGCTTCAGCAAGACAAATACTTTGTAACTGTGAGGTGTTTGACAAGCGATTGTAAATAATGAGGTGTACAGAAAGTGCTTCATCAAGACAAATACTTTGTAACTGTGAGGTGTTTGACAAGCAATTGTAAATAATGAGGTGTACAACAGGTGCTTCAGCAAGACAAATACTTTGTAACTGTGAGGTGTTTGACAAGCGATTGTAAATAATGAGGTGTACAGTAGGTGCTTCAGCAAGACAAATACTTTGTAACTGTGAGGTGTTTGACAAGCGATCGTAAATAATGACATTACAACAAGTGCTTCAGCAAGACAAAATTAGTGTATGTACGTTTTTTGCGATAGGTACATGGTCATTCCTCAGCAAGTCTAACCAATTGTGAGTGACAAAGGCCTCAGCAAGTCTATTTCGTTTGATTTGTTGTTTAACACCGCACTCAGCAATATTCCAACTATATGACGTCGGTCAGTAAATAATCTGGACCCGATAATTCAGTGTCAACATCTGTCAACCAAGTCAAAGAGCCTGACCACCCAATGATAACCTCACTGGTATATCCACGCATTGATGTGTGTCGTATGTTATGAGTGAATGAGTGAGTGAGCGAGTGAGCGAGTTTAGTTTTACGCCGCACTCAGCATTTTCCCAGTTATATGGCGGCTGTCTGTAAATAATTGAGTCTGGACCTGACATCCAGTCATCAACAGCATGAACATCGGTCTATGCAAGTGGGATACGATGACATGTGTCAACCAAGTCAGCGAGCCTGACCATCCGGTCCCGTTAGTCGCCTTTGACGGCAAGCATGGGTTACGGAAGACCAATTCTAACTACTTCACGGGTCGTATGTTATAAGTGAGTTTATTGTAATACTTGTGGGTTGTCAATACAAGAAAGAAATATATTACAAATATTGAGAGAAATATACTTCTAATAAGTAGGGGAACCTGAACTTTCAATTTTGATAGGAAGTATAAGCGTTAACAAACTTTTCAAAGACACATCTTATGAACGCACCACCATTTCTCTTTATCACCACCCCTAAACACAACGCATGGGATGCACGTGCACAACGCAGTAGGGTGTCATTCACGTGCACAGGATGTCAGTCTTGATTTTGACGGTTTTTAAGAAGGTCGAAAAGTCACTGAAGACCATTTATTTTGACAATCGTCTTGCATCACAGAATTTGTTTCTTGCCGTTCTTCTGTTTGAAAATGAAAATCGTACACATGCAAAATTCACGTCATACACCAAACATCTTTCAAGAGAGATTACTGTATAAATAACTATGGTCATAAGGAAGTGCAAGTGGTGATGCACTTTCAACATTCAACATTTAGTATTATCATTTCTAAGATGCCTAGCGGTTAAAACAATCGAAAAAAAATACATTATCAGACAATAAAGGTATAGTTTTTTGATGACGTAACAATTGAATGACGTTATCCCGTCACTGCGCCATTCTAGTGTGCCCCTAGTAATCGAACCATTTTGCATTACGTCACAATGTAAGCGACGTCACGATGCATGTCAGTTGTCATCGCCTCGTACGGCCTCCTACAGTAAACTACTCCGTTGCATCCCGTTTCTTGGTTTGCAGTTAATTCACGCAGCTAACATCACTGGTGGAAACATTACGTTTATCTTTTACGACGGTTAAAATGTGTCAATTCGACTCACAAGTTTTCAGCGACACCGTAACGTTCGCAATGTTTACATTCCCACAATGCAATCGGAATGTCGCTTGACTACTCAGCTTCATCTGGATGTACTGATCTAAACTTACGAAGGTAGTAGAAATGCGACGTTCATATTGCCCCATATGGTTTACGTTAATGACAGATGCAATTAAAATAATTCAGAGAAGATATTTAATCCGAACGTAAACCGCCATCAAACTGTTATCATTTGGTTTTTCTGGTGACGTTCGTCTTAACGTAGGGGGGCAGACACATCAATAGAACAGCGCGCCAGTTAGCCCTGTGCGAGGATTCTTAATTTAGGTCACCGACACCGTCGTTTGTTTTCTGCCTTAAATTAATCGTAATTATCCTTAGAAAGTATTAAATTTGGCATCTTAGAAAAGAAATACAGTTCGCTCTACCACCATGTATAGTGTAATAAAACACACTTTCGCCCTGAACTATTATAGTTAAAGTACGAGGACGCTTGCGTCCGAGTGCTTTAACGTTATAATAGTTCAGGGCAAAAGTTTACTCTGTCATTAAACAACTTTTATCCTAAGTTGAATAAAATTCTGAGATTTAAATGTTCAGTTGGCAAGGTACAATTATGAGGATTCGCAATCTTAATTTCACTTTATTCGATTTACATTTTTGTTTAAATTGAAATTCATTGGCACGTTTTCACTGCAAACAGACTATAATGTATGGACTGAGGCGACTGGTTGTGGAACAATGATACCCGTAACCGTGATATCAATGCAGTTTTATTAAACTTGGTAAGGTCAAAAGAAAAAATGGTCATTTTATGATATCCTCATTAAGTCTGATCCGTTTCCTTCTGTTTGAAACAAATATGAAAATATAGTATTTATCTCTGTACCAAGTAAACATATTTACATCTCTTTCAGGAAATGTACCAAATGTACTATTAGTAACTATCAAAATTTCAATACAGGTCCGATTTTATGCACTAAGAGTGAGTGAGTATAAATCTTATTTTCACTTTATTCGATTTACATTTTGTTTAAATTGAAATTCATTGGCACGTTTTCACTGCAAACAGACTATAAGTTGTGGAACAATGGTACCCGTACGCCGCTTTATTAAACTTGGTAAGGTCAAAAGAAAAAAATAGCAGTATTCCAGCAATATCCGCGGCGGGGACACCAGAAATGGGCTTCAAATATATTGTACCCACGTCGTCAGATTTTATGGAATGAGTGAGTACCCGCTTTTAGGTCTTTAGCGTGACGACCAGACGCTTTAACACGTGGGGAATCGAACCCGGGTCTTTAGCGTGACGAGCAGACGCTTTAACCAACTAGGCTACCCCACCGCCCCTTATGCGCTAAGAATGAACCCTTTAAAGATAAAAGATGACATGGCATTATGTGTGTGTATTTTGTGACACGACCTGAGAATTGTGTAAATATGCATGTTGATTGGACATGGTTTGGATAGGTTCGACTTCTCATATGCATGTTCTTCTGGGTATTTCGGTTTCCTTGTCAAAGTTCACCAAACTGTTGTTTATAAATACTGACTATGTCTTCATGAATGATCCATTTGGCCACCAAAAGATAAATCCATATATAGGCCTACTGCAAATATAAATGAAACGCCCTTCACCTGCCTTTTTCTACCAATTTTAAGGACATAATCGAAGTAGATTTGGAGTGGCAACCAAAAGTAACAGTATGGTTAAAGACAAACACCACGAAGATCCGGGTAGAATTGGTCTTGAGTAACCCATGCTTGTCGTGACACGCGACTAACGGGATCGGGTAGTCAGGCTCGCTGACTCGGTTGACACATGTAATCGGTTCCCAATTGTGCAGATCGATACTCGTGATATTGATCACTCATGATGTCAGTCACTGGATTGTCTGGTCCAGACTCGATTATTACCAAAGCGCCGCCATTTAGATGGAATATTGCTGAGTGCGGGGTTAAACAACAAACAGATGTACTTTGTCCATTTTCACATTAAAAAGTGGAAGCTGTGTTTTTGACAAATGCCTTCTGAAGTGAATAAACATTTGCCGAAAAAATCCAAAATAATCTGTGTAATGAGGAAACGACAAGGACCTCAGCAAGTCCAACACGTGCCGATAACACCACGGAGGTCGACTAGAGTGACTATGGGTCGAGATAAGATAACGAAGATCTATGTTTTTCCCGGCCAACAGCCTGCTATCTCCTGAACATAACACAGGGATGTCGGCATATTGGCACCTGCCACAGTTCATGGACAGTCACATGGAAAAATCTACCATAGGAGGATATGACTTTCTTATATACTGACGGTAAGAAGTAACGAACATTGGACAGGATTTATTATAAGGCATCAATTTCACAAAAGCTGTACCGAGGGTGGTTGGTTAAATCGACATACAAATATGAGCGTATCAAAATATCGTTACTTAACTCATCACTCACTTGTGTCACGGAGGTGATGTGTCAGCTCACTGTTCCCTCATCGGACAATATAGAGACATTCACTGGAATTGTGTGTCTTTGTGGGACTTGACGGAGCCGGAAGTTCGTGCTAACGTTTCAAAATGTGATTCTCGCATGCGTTTCCTGAACGGGGGATGTCTGTTATTGTATTGTACAAAGCCGCCAGTACGTGACGGGGCCATGCTTCTTCAACTCCATATTGTGTTTCATAAGTACGACTTATCATCACACTGATCGTTAAACACGTTGTGTCCTATTGTGTCATTGTGAACATATGTGACATGGCATTAGATAGGTTACATGTATATCAATTCTCATCAACGTTATTCAATATCACTCTCTGATAAGCATCTCCACCCTGTCTTTTTCACTGCTATGTCTGTTTGTCTACGCACGCACACACGCACGCACGCACAAGTTTTCAAACTGATGCCATTTCTTCTGTATTTAGTTTTATTCTCATTCTAATACGATATATACCATGGTCCAGTTTCATTTGCATCAACTGAGTCTCCGACTCGTATCCGACCTTTCAATCCCGTTAGTAGACTCTTGCAGTTGGAAGAGCAATTCTAACCTGGATATGTCCGTTAAACAACCGTAATTAACAAGATTTCGTAAAATCATGGCTTAAATACTACCTTCAAAACATTAAAATAAGATAGACACTCTGTTAACACTGGAATGTATGTATCGCCACGATCCATCAGCCTGGGTTATGCAGCTTTTCACCTGATGGGTCTGTTTGCATTAGTCCTTCCCATTAATATAATAATACATGAAAGTACAGGTGTTCCTTTATTTATTTCCAGAATTTCACCCAGTGCAATACACACCATGAGAAGAAACCTGGAAAAGAATAAAGGAACACTTGTACTTTCATGTGTTCCCTTATTTGTTTCCATGAGTATATTATTTTGTTCGTGTTACACATACACTGTTCCGAGTTTGAAGAATTCCAAATGGCTAGTAATGCGTACTTTTAATATTCTGATACATGACAGTGAGCACGATGAGAAATATTTTGCGACGTGGATGATAGATAGAAAAACTGAAGGAAAAAAGAAAGGATAAACCTGAAAATGTGATTTCTAAAAACGTTTACCGACGTCATGAAAACGTTGCTAATCAGTCACCGAAACAGTACATAGGTCCACAACTCCGCTATGAGACCAATGTCAAATTCATCATCGAATAACCATTTCCTGCACGTTTCGATCTTAACTATCAAACATTTTTTCTTGCCCGACATTTAATATATATATTTAACTTTCAACATCTGACCCTTGAAGATTATAACTGCAAAGTACAATCACAAAATCGTTCTGGTTTATTTAAAATAAGATACATATATCTTTCAAGCGTTTCACCTACCTTATATGACCCTGTCTGCTGCCGACTTTATCAAACAGGACGGATAAGCCAGAAAGGGAGGGTTTTGTTAGCGACTTAAGTCGTTTATCTGGTCGGTCGCACAGCTTGACGCGCTCACAAGGCCCACTCCTCGTTATAGGGCGCCATCGTTGCAGCGTATAGACAGAACCAGGTGTGGCGGCAGCCGTAAGACGTCATTAAATGAGGACCCAGTACAATGGCAATGTAACGCTTATCTTTGTTATTGTAGCACATGTCTACTTGTAATTGTTTATGAATGTTTACCAAATTTCTTAAATGTCCCTGGTCTAGGCTTAAGTCAATGACAGCGGTAGGTAATATTTACCGAACAAGGTTATATAACACAACTTTATTTGATGTTTCAATGGAGGAACATACGCCGTGTACCGTTGTCAGTTTCAGAGGTGAATTGTAAGCATGAAATATCTCCTTAAGACCACGTGTCAATATCGTGCACAGAGAAATATACCATAGAATGCTAGCAGATAAGACATATAGATCAATAGACATTTTACAAGACAAATCTTACGGGGAACAGGTGCGGATATAGTTTCTTTAGAAAGGAGAAAGGAAGGGGGTGGGTTTCACGCGAGTTTCAATGGTCATTTAATAAACTTTCGAGGGGTGGGGTGGGGTAGCTCAGAAACGTCGTAAGAATAATAAAGTAGTGGTTATCCATAAGATTTGTCTTGTATTACTACACCAACTTCTAAATGCCTTTGAAGAATTTCAATAGACATATACACTAAAATACATTCACTGCAACAGTGCTTGGGACCCGATGGAGGGTAAGCATAAGGTTTGAAACACCGTGCATGTATATAGAAAAATAGTTGGTTTGTAATAATCCAAGTTGTGATGATAATCAGCTTTAAAATGCCCATAAACAGGACCTTCGCATTATAGCAAAATAATCATGTCAATATTAATGCTAAAATAATTGCAACCAGACTCGAGTAAACGTTTATCAGATACATCCAGTCAATGTTTATCGGGTAATGAAGTATGTGCTGATTAACACTGACATATTTGTATGGAAGCAAAATATGCTGATTCAGCGTTCTGTCTTGACTATTCGGTACTCATTGTACGAATTAACTGGCGGTATTTCCTTGCATTTCGTACACTTTGAATGTATGTATATTGTACTTACATGTAATGTGGGCACGTCCGTATGTACTTGTGTTGTAATCAGACACTGACTCATGTTATCCGCGGGGTCGTGAACTCTCCCCTCGATGTGGGTCGACGTGAGGGTGATAATTAAGATATCCAACTGGTACAGTCAAAACCTCTTGGCGGATCTCATAATGGCAGTCTCTTTCCTTGTAGTTTATCGTGCTGTTCCTGACCCGTTATCAGTCTTTAAACGTAGGTAGGTAGTAGTTTAAGTAGATTAAGTTCAACAGCTCCATGTGCAGAGTTGCATCCCTTTAGCGTGTCTGGATCAGCTGGTCGTAGGTTTGGTTGGAATCTCAGATTCGGAAGAATATCATTCTTGATTAGTCAGCATTATCACCGTGTTCGTGGATGTCAGGTTTGACTCAATCGTCCGGATAATAAAGTGTCCGGATTTAACGAGGTTCAATCAGTATGACTTGTTTGATTGCCACACTCAATATTCCAGCTATATGGCGGCGGTGTGTAAATAATCGAGTCTGGACAAGACAAGCCATGAAGCCATAGAGAACCAACCTGATCCCTACTGATGGTCTATGACACACCAACCTGATTTTAGTTTATTTTGTTAGATGCCACACTAATATGACTCCAGTCTGTAAATATTCGAATCTAAACCAGGCTATCCAGTGACTGACAACATAAGCATTGATCTATGAAACTAGGACATGATGACATGTGCCAACCAAGTCAGCGGGCCTGACCACCCGACCCCGTTAGTCGCCTCTTACGACAGCATGGGTTGCTGAAAGTCAATTCTAACCCGGATCTTCAGGGGTCTCAACCGCAATAAGAAATAGAGTTACTTTATAGCGAGATTTACGTGGAGGACGTTTGAAGGGCAAACCATAACTTCCATACTATCAGACTAAAGTCAGATTTGTGAACCCGGGCCCAGCTCTGAAGCATGGAAAACTGATTGAAGAGTGTGCTTAGAGAGCTGTTCTCGTGTTTATAAAGACTACATACAGATCCACCTTAATCTATACGTATCGAACAGAGAATGATTGAACTGTTTGTACAGATGTGCTCAATTAATACCGGTGCAATATAAAATAGTCCAGTGTTTATGATATGATTGTGTTCTCCAATGATCAAGCGGCAAGCGCAATAATAGGTAGCCGACGTTGTTATGTTTATGTTCACAAAAGTGGTGTTTTTGAAAGGTGTTCGTAGGAATATTATCCACGTCTTTATTAACCATGACCCCCATTTTAAAAGAAAGCCATGTGACTCTCGCCTTGCTAAAGCCATTGTAAGGCTATGTCATTCATCTTTGGCCTTCGTCCGGAGGCTTACGGCTTGGGGTACAAAGTTTATGAAATATGATGTACATGTGAGTGCGTTTGTGCGTGCGTTTGTGCGTGCGCGTGACTTACGCTTGTCTTATGGATCTAGCCCAATGAGACACTCTGCTAAAGTTTAACATGGATACAGTCACACTGTACTGACTCCAAACCTACCAATCCTTGTTATTTGTCTTGGTCGCCAGTCAGGGTAGCAACAAGTCCCATATTTTGACGTAGTTAGGTATCATGCGGGCAGGGGTTCAAACAACCGACCTCAGCCTCATCGGACATACGCGCTATCAACTGCACCAGGGCGGTGACTCTGGAATATGAAGGTCAAGGTCAGAAGGTCACATTCTGACTCGTATCTCTGTCACGTGAACAAAAGGAACAACACGTTCATAGAGCTTATACACATGAAGTATTGCATAATGGCGACGATCTCTGTTAAACTGACCAAGAAAGAGGCATGAGGATGGCTTATGATCGCAATAGCATAAAATACACAATGGCCTATCGGACTGACCTCTGGTTGACCTTTGTCAAAGGTGAACGACACTCAGTGCAAGCATAACTGAATCCCATGATTCAAGTACAAATTATTTGAACATTTGGAGGCAAGTAATTTGATATTTGAAAACCACAATGTTTCGAAAGAAATTTACAGGTGTTCGAAAACACATAGTTGAAAACATAATTGGTTTGTCTTCTCAATTAATACCATATGAGATAAGGAACTAATGTAATTCTTCGTGGCAAGAATCACATGCTGAGTGAGTGAGTGAGTGAGTTGGGTTTTACGCCGCTTTTAGCAATACTGCAGCAACATAACGTCGACGGACACAGGAAATTGGCTTTACACATTGTACCATGAGTTGAATCGAACACGGGTCTTCGGCGTGACGAGCATGCGCTTTAGTTACCAGGCTGTCTCACCTCTCATACATACAGTAACAGCTCCACGAGTTCCATTTTTCGTTTGCAGAAACATGCAGCGTTACAGTGTTATTAAAGTACAGACACCGTATCGTTAAGTACAAATTACAGTAGGTGACGATGAGGTTCAGAAAACTACAAATAGAAACAAAATAATTCTTAAAGTACTGTCGGAAATGCTAGAAAAATGCTTTTTGACTTATATTTAAAATTCAGAGGTATTACAGTTACTTAAAGAATAAATATCACTTTAAGAAACATCTACCTAATGTAGACCGAGGGAATAAATTTTGAGACATGCCCTAAAATGTGTTATTACCGATGAAAATACTAAAACCTTAGAAAAATAACGGGTAGTGGGACGTTATTTGATACAAACATTAACTGCCTGTGTTACGTCATCAGCATGCACGGTATCGACAGGTGAAATTGACACCTGAGCACACGCTCGGGGGAGGGGTCATCTCAATAAGATGTTTTCTTCAAAATGTTGAATAGGTGTACGTACAGTATACGTATTGGTTATGTAAGGGATCATTTGTGTATGTGTGTATGTGTGTTTGTTTTGAAATAAACATACGAATTACTGTACATTGGAAAGAATCCTATCACTTATCTTATCGATTGATTGTAGAAATGTGCAACGTTTTAATAAAAGTTTTGCATGTCAACAGTATATTTCATTGCAAAAATATGGATGTAATTCGGTCAGTTTAATCTAGTTGTCAACACTGGCCAAAGATTTAACGAAGTCACTGGTGTAGCTTCTTTAGAATATATATATTATTCTTCTCATAAAGTTTGTAGACCGCCCGTCTAAGTACTCCCTTGTTAAAGTTGTCAAGGATGGTTTTACGTCCCGGTTTTGCTTTTGAGACGGTCCCTGTCTTGTCTGATTTGTTTACAATATTGTAAACTTGTTGGTAAGACATACCAACAGCTCTACAAGTTCTGTAATAAACCATTTCTAAACTAATGAAAGGTTTACCTCTGTCTTTTTCAAGCACAAGAAACATATAAACCTTTGCAACAATTGACTGCAAATAGTGGACGCTGTGATTAAGATGTGCATGCATGACGGGAAACTTATTTATCAAGACTTAACATTTATATTAATATTTCTTCAATAAAGAAACGATAAATAAGTAAAGTAACACAAACATTCAACATTTATTTGTTAAAGAAAAACGTTGATTCATATTTTTACACCACATGTATTATTAGCATAAATGTAAAGACTATTTCAGATTTCTGTTGTTGAACTCAGAAAAATCCTAAGTTGTTGTTTTGGTACCATATTCTCTCCTGTAAACTGCCCTTTAAATGCATGGGAATGTTAAATCGATTGAAATAAAAATTAGGTACACTATAGGCGAGTTGATATATTGACAACATAGTACATTTATCACCTTTATCAAAGTATTAAGGCTAAAAAGCATTTTTCTAGCATTTCCGACAGTACTTTAATCATACACCACAAACCGGAGCCTTGCAAAGTGTAAAAAATACTCAAATCCCCAATTGTCCAAATTAACAATCAATTAAATCAAATATGTTTTGTTTCTTGGCATAGAAACATGATAAAGGTAAAGAAACAAACTCACATCTATGTCCTGCCATAACGATAACCTGTGAGCCCTGATCCAAACATGGAGGCTTTCTGCACCACTGTCAACATGTGCTCCTCGATCATGTGATCAGATACCAG